CCCCGCCGGCCCTGCTGCCCCGCCGGCCCCGCCTCACCTTGCACTGCAGGTAGGTGGTGCGCTGGGCCCCCGCCTCGTCCCCCGTCACCACCTGCATCACGTGCGGCAGCTGGAAGGCGCCCTCGTCCACGCGCTCCACCGCCTGGATGCACCGCACCGCCAGGGAGACCCGCGCCTGGGACGGGCCCAGTCACCCCGCGGCCGCGCCCCTCCCTCCCTTCCTCCCTCCCTCCCGCTTCCCCTTCTCCCCCTCCTCTCCTCCCCTTACTGCTCCTCCCCTTCTTCTTCCTCCTCCTCCTCCTTCTCCTTTCCTCCTCTTCCTCCTCCTCCTCTTCTTCCTCCTTAGGGAGAAAAGCCACCCCTAAACATGTGCACTGTTCTGGGAGCTTCCTTCCTTCCTTCCTTCCTTCCTTCCTTCCTTCCTTCCTTCCTTCCTTTCTCTTTCTTCCCCCCTCTCTCGCTCTCTCATCCTTTCTTTCCTCAGTTGTGGGGCTTGCACTCAGGTCCTGGGCACTGTCCCTGAGTCTCTTTGTGCTCAAGGCTGGCACTCTACCACTCTAAGCCACAGCACCACTTCCGGCTTTTTCTGAGTATTTATTGGGGAATAGAGTCTCATGGACTTCCCTGCCCTGGCTGGCTTTGAACCTCCATCCTCAGATCTCAGCCTGAGTCGCTAGGATTACAGGTGTGAGCCACCAGCACCTGACTGGGAGATTAGATTCTATGGCTCCCCCTCACCCAGGGCCTCAGTTTCCCCCCTGGGGAACCCAGCTGCTGGTGCTCGAGCCCCACCTGCCCCTCAGGACTCTTGGCGTAGGCCAGGCTGTCCCCGCTGAGCCAGAAGTAGCGCTTCTTGAAGGCGAAGCGCGGGGTCAGGCCGCCTTGCTCCTCTCTCCGCTTGAGCAGGTAGCCTTCCCGAACGGTCTCCGAGGGCGACATCAGCGCCCGGGTGGGGCTTCCCTGCTCTGGGGAAGGGGAGAGTCAGGTGGGGAGATGAGAGAGGGGACGTCCTTCCTGCTCACAAGTCAAACCCACATCCTGCCCCACCTCACCCTACCTGCCTGGCTTCACCTCTCCTTTGTTCCTACCTCAGTCAGTCTTCTCTGACTGCAGGGCCTTTGCATGTGCTGATCCCCCCTCCCGCCCTGCCTCAAACTCCCCTCTTCTGATCCCCACTTCCTGCTGGTGCTTCCTGTTTGTACCATGCATTGGGCACTCAACAGACACCCTTCCACAGCCGGCATCCGCTGGGGGTAGTCCCAGACTCCATCCATATCTGAGACCTAGCACTGATCCCAGAAAGTGCTTGTTGATGGACCAACTGACCCCCCCCCTCATTCTCAGCACTGAGGAGCTGGGGATCCTGCCAGGCCCCTGGCCACAGGACCTCACCCTCATTCACGTCCACCAGCTGGTCCAGGAAGTCCCGCACACGCGCGACGCTCTGCAACAGGAAGGGGTGGAGTGGGGCCATCCACAGCTCCTTGCCCTGGCCCAGCTGCTGGCCCAGGTTTCCGATGCTCTGCACAGCCTGGGGGGTGGGGGAAGGTCACAGCCCAGACCAGGACCCTCTGCCCACCCAGGACCCGGCTGGCTCCCAGGGTCCCTAGGGAGGAGACCCAGCCTGGCCCATGGTTTGGGCACAGCCGGTTCCTCCCCTCCCCTTCTGAGATCCGCACCCCAGTTCCTGTCTTCTGTTCTCCTCTGCATCCCCCATCGCCACCCCAGGAATGGCCGGATCTGTCATGCACACCAGGGCCCACCAGAACCTCACATTGCTAGGCACAGACTAATTCATACTAAGATGTAGATGACTGCCCATCCCCACCTGGCCCCCCAGTACCTTAGCGAGCAGCAGCAGGGAGCGGCTAGTCTGGGGGTCTGCGTGCTGATCCCGGAGGTCAAACAACTTCGGGGTGAGGATGGCGGGGGCAAAGAACCGCAGGAAGAGAAAGCCACTTATGGCCAGGTACTTTACGTCCTGCAAAAGCAGCAGCAGGTGAGAGGCCACAAAGAGAGGGTGCTGGAGCACACGGGGCGGGGCGGGCAAAGGCTGGGTGGCAGACGGGTCAGGAGGCCATTCTATCCTCCCCGGAAGGTCTTCCTTCCCTGTGTCTCAGTTTCTCCAGCTGGAAAATGAGGTAACTATCAAGACTACAGAATCAGATTTGACCTGGGAGAGAGGCACCATGGTCATGGAAATGTGCCACACAAGGAAGCCGAGGCTCAGAGAGGCCAAGACACTTGTTCAAGGCCACACAACAGAGGAGTCCGGGAAGCAGAACTCAAACCCAAGCCTGTGGTCTGAGGCGACGAGAACGGGCCAGGTTTTCTGCACCCATCGGGCGGCTGAGGGGCAAGGCTGCCCAGCTACAGGCAAAAGAGCCATTCAGCAGCAAAGCACTGCTTCCAGGAGCGCGCTGGAGCCTTGAGTGACACATTCAATCTCCAATCGCATGGAATCCCCAAAAGAACCTCAGGGAAACTTCCATGACGCCCATTTTTTGGGAGGCAGAAACTGAGGCCCGGGTTGGCAGGTGTGGAGGCTGCGGGGCCGTGGGCCTCGGCCTGGCCGCCCCTCCTCCGCGGTGGGGGGCACCTCCGGGCGCCCCTCCCCCCAGCGCCCCCCCACCTGTCCTTTGCATTGAACCCGACAGTGGGCTCTGTGTCTGTTCCGGGGTGTCGTTCACACAGAGGCAGTGCCTGCCCGGGGGCGTACAGAGCTGGGGGGGGCCTCGGCCTCGTCCGGGCCCCCCCCGGGCCAGGCCCGCAGCGGGAAGAGCGCCTCCCCCTGACCTCCATGGCCCGCAGCCCCGCTCCCAGCCCGCCTCAGCCCCCATGGCGCCTCCCTTCTTGGGGATGGGGGACACGTTGGAGCAAATACGGGGTGCCGGGGGGGCTCCGAGTCCCACCCTGGTGAGCTAGAAAAGCGGGCCTCCAGGGGCTCTAATGGGGCTTCCTGGGGGGGGACCGGCACCCCCTTCCCTTCCACCCCCCAGCCCCTGCCCCACCCCATCTAGCATCTCAGCAGCCATGGGAGCGGGCAGAGCTGGCTGAAGGAAGCCGGGGCCTCCCAGGCACCGAGGGAGGGGCCGTCTCTACCCTGACGCCCAACGGGACCCTGGACAGGGGCCTCCTCCTGCACCAGCCTGGGGAGTGTGGCCCGCCTACCGGGCCCCGCCCCC